TTTGCCTATTTTATTTATTTTTATTTTTTACATTGTAGTTTAAAGGGAAAAAATTTCTGCATATATTGAGATGATCATGTGATTTTTGTCTTTGGTTCTGTTGTTACTGTGGATTACATTTAAAAAAAAAATTATTTATTTATTTTTTGTCTTTTTCCTTTTTATCGGTACCGGGGATCGAACTCATGACTGCCTGCTTGCAAGGCAGGCGCTTATGCCGCTGAGCTAAATCCCCAGCCCCCAGATTACATTTATTGATTTGCGTGTGTTGAACCATCCCTGCATTCCTAGAAGAATCCCACTTGGTCACAGTGTATTATCTTCTTGTTGATTTGATGAATGCTGTTTGCTAATATTTTACTGAGGATTTTTGTATCTACGTCTATAGAAAGTCCTTCTGGACTTTGTCACGGTTCGTAAAAGCCCACATTTGTAATCTCATGAAAAGTTGCTAGAAGTCTAATAAGTTCATTCTAGTTTACCATGCCGAGTGCAATGCATGGTGACACTAACGACTCTAGGGCAAATCTGTAGTCATGGGAATCCAAAGGGGTCTTAAGTCCAACCAGAATAATGGCTGACTGGAACAAGAGAACGAAGGCCTCCATCCAGGGCCAGCCTGGGTTTTATTAAGTCATGAGGAGGGGAGCAGACTGAGGATGAGTGACTGTGAGAGTGGTGGGAAGTACGTGAATGTTGTGAGCTGGGCCAGCTAGGAGGCCTGAAATCACCTCTGCTACTATAAATATATAGAGGGGGAAGGGAGACAGAAAGAGTAACCTGCATGTCACTGATTGGGGCAGTATCTAGAGTTTCGGGGTTGGTCTTTAGTTTTGATATGTAATTTTCATGTCCCAAGAAGTCACAGCCTCTTTGCTCGAAGCTCATTCTCAGTTGACAGCGTGGCCTCTCTTGGCCTAGCTCACACGTACTACTTGGGAGCTAAGGTGCGTTGCTTTAAACATTATGCATCAGCAGCTCCTCTAGACTGAGGTGACAAAAACAAAACTTAGCACTGCAAAGATCAATATGTGGAGGCAGGGTCAGGTGTACCACAATGGAGACAGCTGCCTTTCTTTAGGGAGAGTGATTCCCGTAGTCCTCCACATATGTCTCTTTTCTGGATGGGCTTTTTTTCTGGTTTTGGTGTCAGGGGCAAACAATTATTTGAAAAAAATGTTCAACATCATTGGTCATCTGAGAAATGAAAATTAAAACAACACTGAGGTTTCATCTCCCTGCAGAAAGAATGGCCAGGATCAAGAAATCAATCAATAAGAAATGCTGGAGGGACTGGAGAAAAAAGGAACCCTTCTGCAGTGTCGGGAGTGCAGACTGGGACAAGCACTGCGGGAATCAGTGTGGAGATTCCTCAGAAAACTAAGACTGGAGGTCCCACTCAGCCCAGCTATGCTCGTCTTGGTACCTTCCCAGAGGAGTTAAAAACACCATTCCACAGAGATACGTGTGCACCCGTGTTTATAGCAGCACAATTTGTAATGCTGAATCTTGGAAACAAGCTAAATGCCTATCAACCATGGAATTAATAAAAAAGATGTATAAATACAAAAGTGGAGTACTGCTCAGCCAAAAGAGGTGTAAAGTTGAGACCTCCTTTCTTTGTTTTTAGTACTGGAGATTGAACTCACCACCTGGCACTTGCCATGCAGGTGCTGTGGCACTGAGCTAAACCTCGACCGGAAACTGGAGACTTTTCTAGGTGATGGATGCAACTGGAGACCATACTCACAAGTGAAATAAATCAGACTCACATGTGTGGACATCGTATTGCCTCCCCACTGTGAGAAGTTGAAAATAAATACGGTTTAAAATATACAACAGATATCGTGAAATGAGAAGAAATTGATTAAAAGGAAAAAGGAACCAGGACAGGGAAAAGGGAAAGGCAGGGAGGGAACATGGAGTAAAAACGCAAGTTAGTGGTGCTGTTCGTGTCTCTAAGTTCATAGAAAAGGAAGGTTTGTTCTAACATTGATTGGAAAAGTTTCCATGCCCATTTCTTGTACTGCGATAACTACTTTAGAGATAACCATATGCAGGGTATTAACTGTCGTTATTTTCCTGTTATCTGGTTATGAAGTTTTGTTTAACCCTTTTTCCCATAAGACACTAGATTGTGGGGTAACTTTTTCTGTAGCAATAAATAGATGTTACAACTCCCTTTTAAAAGTTTCATAACAAGGTACTAGAGAGTAACAACAGTTATTACATTGTGTATTGTTATTTTCAAAGTAGTTACTCAGAGTACAAGATATAGGTATGAAAAAATTGTCTAAACAATATTAGCACAAACTTTTCTCTTTAATGAACCAAGAGAAATTACTAGTATAACCATCTTACCTATCTTGTGTGTGTATATATATATATTTTTTTTCCTTTTCTCTTCCTTCTACCCTCTTTTCCCCCATCCCAATTCTCTTTCCTTTGAACAGTTTTTCCCCATTTGAGAATATCTGTTGTACATTTTAGATCCTATTTACTCTTCACACTAGGGAGACAATACAGTGTTTACCCATGAGAGACTGACTTGTTTTACTTATGAGTATAACCTCAAGTTGCATCCATTTACCCATAATAATCTCAATTAATCCTTGTTTATGGCCGAGTAGTACTCCATTGTATAAACATACCACATCTTTTTTATCTATTCCATGGTTGTTGGTCTTTGCCCATTTAAAAATTAAACCATTTATTTTATTTATGGAAAGAAAAGTTGTTTGAGGTTCTCATATACTTTGGGTATGAATCCCTTATCAAGTGTATAGCTTTGAAACAGTTCCTGCCAAGCTGTAGATGTTTCTTCACTCTGTTCTTTCTTGTATGAAGCTCTTTATCTCCATGTAACCCCAATCTATTATTTGTGCTAGTATTTTTGGAGTCAAATTTAAAATACTGTCTAGACCAGTACTGTATAGTTTCCTCCTCTCTTTTCTTTTGGTAGTTTATATGCTCAGGTTTTATGTTTAAAGATTTTAGCCATTTTGAGTTGATTTTGTATATTGTATAAGAGTTTAGTTTCATACTTTTGCATGTAGCTGTCCAGATTTCTGATCACCATTTAAAGAAAACATAGTTATTTTCCTTTTGTGTGGTTTTGGCATCTTGTTCATTGTCTTGAGAAATGAAAATATATTCATTTTTGTGGTTTTTATTCATTCCATTAGTTAATATGTCTATTTTCATGTCAGTGCCATGTAGTTTTAATTACCATTGCTTTGTAGTATGGTTTGAAATCAGAGCATGTGACATGTCTAGCTTCATTTTTCATTGATTTTATGTGTGTTTTCACATAAATTTTAAGATTTTATTCTATAGCTATGCAAAGTGGCACTGGGAGTCTGAGAGACATTATGCTGAATTGGTAGGTTGCTTTTGGTAACTTTGACATTTTAATAATATTAATTCTTCTAATCTATGGTAATTGGATTTCTTTTCTTTTTTTAACCTTTTTCAATTTTTTCATTAATGCTTTAGAGGTTTGGTGTATGAGTCTTTTACCTCATTGCTTGCATTTATTCCTGAGTATTTCATTTTATTTTTATAGCCACTATAGATTGGATTGTTCTCTTCAGTTCTTTGTGATTTCATTGCTATTGTACCAGGGCACTACTGTCACTTTATAGTACTGACAATTTGCATGTCAATTGTATAGTCTGTAACTTATTAAATTTACTGATCTAGTCTAACTTTTTCTCCCCTTGGATTCTTTAGGATTTTCTATGTGTAAGATCACGTTAGCAAGTAGTAATAGTTTCACTTTTTCCTCCTATTTTATTCTTTTTGAGACACACATAATTTCTTTTGCTGCATTATATGACCTTTTCTATATTGTTTCTATTTTATTTTCTCAAAATATTTTAATTTACCCTTTAATTTATTTAGTGATGTATTGGCTATTCAGGAATATATATTTTTCTCATTTCTATGTGTTTTTGAATTTTCTGAAATTATTCCTGAAATTAATTTCTAATTCCATGCCATTGTGGGATAAATAAGTATTTTACACAATTTTAATTTTCTTCAGTTTGCTAAGACCTGTCTTGTGGCCCAACCTATGATCTCGCTTGAAGAATAGCTCTTGTGTACTTGTGAAGAATGTGGATTCTGTTGCTAGTTGGATTTTTAAAAATATTATGTTAGGTACATGTGGCCTAAAGCATTATTGAAATAGAATGTTTGCATATTAATTCTCTGTCTAGATGATATGTCAAATATAGAAAGTTACCTATTAAAGTCCTGTACTACTATTTATTGCATTCTATTTTTTTTCTTCTGATCCTTTAACATTTCCTTTATATATTTAGGGGCTTCACTCCTGGGTGCATATGTAACTGTTATATAAATACTTACATAATGATCATTTTGTCATTATAGAATATTCTTTTAGAAAAACTGTTTTGACTTAATGTTTATTTTGTTTAAGTATTGCTATTTGCTTTTGGTTTCTATTGCATAGGATGTCTTTTTGCAATTCTCTCCTTTCAGTTTATACATATCTTTTATTCTTGCAGGCAGCATGATTAAATCTGTTTTTTTTAACAAAACATTTATTCACTTTGTATATTCTGATTGAAGAATTTAATCCATTTGCATGCAAAGAATTATTGGTAGGTAAAGACTTATTGCTACTGTTTTGGTTTTTAGTTGCTTTGTAGACACAAATGTTTACAAGATTGTATTACTGTTTCTGATTTAATCAGTTTCTGGAGGGCTAAGCCTTCCTCTCTCTTTCCCCATCTTGCTTTTCTGAATTGTGGTCTAGTAGTTTTCTGCAGTAGTGTGTTTTGAGAGTTTTTATGTTTGTTTTGTGCATATCTTGAGGTGGCTTCTGTCTGGTTGCCATCAGGCTTGCACTGACTATCTTGCACATGTGAAAGTCTATTTGAAGGTGGTAACAGTGTATTTTTGTGTACATCTCTACACTTCTACTCCATATGTATTCTCCTCAATGTATCTTTTCATTTATCTCTGCTTTGTAGGAGGTGAAACCACTTTAACACGTGCAGCCCAGATTCTGTAGGTAAGTGTGTGAATGACTTTGTGAGTGTGATTGTGTGTGTGTGTTTGAGTGTGGACCCATGTTATACATGATACAGCTTCACATGCTAAGATTCTACTGGAGGGAAAAGAGATATGATGGATTTAAATATACGGATGGTTTGTTAATTTAAGAATGTTAGAAAACCAGAATTTTTGTATCCAATTTCTCTAGAATTTAGGATGGGTTTAAATAAAAAAAGAACAAGATGGAAGCTGAGAATTGGAAGGAATACACATGCATTTGCTAGGTGGCTTTGAAGATAGCTATGATTTTGAGCTCAGTGTTAGATTATAAGTTAAATTCATTTTATTAATTTGATTGAACTTACCAGTCTGTTTAATGAGTGAATAAAAAAATTAGCCGATTAGTAGTGTCTGCAGGTCCAGACTTGGTATTAAAGGGTGAGAAGACCAGAATGTCTTAACCTGAGAACCAGGTATCCACCAGGATCCCCGTCTCCCCTTTAGAAATGGATCAGCCATGCCTAGGAAGGAGATCCAGGCAGCCTGTGCCATGAGAGTGTGCTGCAAAGCCTCAGGATCCGGAACTGTCAAAGTTCTCCAAACTCAACTTTACACTCTTCCAGCATACCAGGACCGCAGGGTGCATGCGGGACTTGTCAGCCTGAAAAGCCTGCTGAGGTGAAAGGAAAGAGAAGCTTGTGGAAATACATGATGAAGGCTTCATGGCAGTTAGAAGACCACAGTATGTAAGAGGACAAACAAATCTTGGTTTAAATGCGGCTTATACTCTTCAGTAGCTAACAATTTATTCACTGTATTTAAGTCTCAATTTTATTGTTTATAAAGTGGAAAACATTAACATTTACTTTGCGGGGTTCTTGGAAAGATAAAATAAGTAAAATGATGTGAATGATGTGAATGGCACCCGATAGAGGTTAAATTGGCAGCTATTACTATTATGTTTTGCTAACCGAAAGGAATTTTAAATCCTGGATTAAGATGTTGGCACCGTGTGTTCAATTCTCCCTTGGATTTGAAGTAACATTCCCCAGAGAAGCCCCTCTGAACTGACAGGGTTAAACTTTCATGGCGCTTCCCCTGAAAGGAGGCTTTGCTAAGGCAGGGTGAGCGCTCTTCTGAAGCAGCCTTCTATTCTCTGAGATGAAAGAAGCATTGAATTCAGATAACGCAGTTGGACGTTTCTGGTTTTTGATTGTTGATAAATATTTCATTTTGCATTTTAAATTCATACGGGCCACAAAATCATTGAAGATGAAAAAGAATTCAATACTAGGCCATCCCTTTGCAGGGCTGTTTCTTGGAACACACTTGTTCTCGTTTTATTCGACTGAGGTTGAAGCACCTTGGCAGCTGGCCACGGACAGCTCCTGCGAAGCTGTGGGCAGCAGGCTCTGTGGATGAGTTCCTTTACCCCCTTCTGGGGACTCTAGCTTACCCCCCTTCCAGGGTGAACTAAAAAGCAGTCATTACTTACCTAGCTCAGACTTGGCGTTTTATCTCAAAAATGTCGTCTTTTGAAGCACCTGTGCTACCTGTCTGCATGTCTTGCATTCTAATGAAGAGATATGTAGTGCTTTTGTTATAATTTGCATTTTATGGCCAAGAACTGCAACATCTTGAAGCTAATCATGGGGCAGGGTTTTAAAAGCACACAACAATGACATTTGATTAGGAAGAAATCTTAGAACAACTGAAAATAGCTAAAAGCACAAATGTTTACAAGATTGTATTACTGTTTCTGATTTAATCAGTTTCTGGAGGGCTAAGCCTTCCTCTCTCTTAATTTCAATTATATTATTAACAGTAGGTCATCTTCACAGTAATTGGTACACTCGCTTTATCTAATAGACTATGTTTCATCTAATTGACTTCAAATTTATCATAAAAATGTCAAAGCCAAATTTTCCTATAATAACCTATTATCTCTGCAGTTCTGACTCAGTGCACCTGTAAGAAATGGCATAATAATCTTCTTTGGGAAAGGGAATGGCGGCGAGTTAATTTCCCTGCCTTTGGTGAGAACAACAGCTATTTCTTTCAAAAAGAAACTTTTAATATGTTTTTTAAAATTTTGTCACATTTCTCACCAAATTTGAGTACATTCTATTTTAATAGAATATTTTAATGAATATTCTTGTGAAAAGACAGAATTAAGGAAGGAGTAGGGTCAAACTGAATAAAGAGCAGATGGTTTTGGCAAATCACCTTATCTCTGTGGTTCTCATATATCAAATGAGGCAGTCTAGAAGCATTCCTTTATGAACCCCATTTTTAAATACACCCTCTTCATGGTCCTTACATATGTGGGTACCAACTGTTCACTTTTTCTAAGCTGCCATATTTCATTATCGCAATTAGCTCCTAAAATATACTTGAAAAGGAAATGTAAAATAATAAAAAGAAGTAATGCCACTATCAACAAAATGGAACTTTGATAATGAATAAATACATACCAAATTAATGATAGTTTATATGTGGATTACCAGTGATAATCATACCAAGAGCTATATTTTCTTGAGTCTGTTGTCACCATTTATGCAGTTTGCAATTTGTATTATAAATGCATGCAAAAACACTGAAGACATTTAGGATTTGAAGGCAGATTTATTTATATTGACAGCACAAATCAGGATCATTCTCTGAATATCAGGTCATATCAGATCACTCTGGTGATCTAGGGCTTATATGGGATAAGCAAGCAGGAAGTACAGAGGCAGAATTGCTTGTCAGTTGGGGATTGCTTTATAAAATCCCCACATAACTGACCAGTTATTTTTTTTTTAAAGGAAAAAAAAAAAACAGTAAAATGGTACAAGTAATACAGAATTAAAAAAAAAATAAACAGTAAGAAATCCCTAGTTAATAGATTACATTTGTCATCTTAGAAATAGTTGTTCAAATTACAAAATTAAAGCATACAAAGTGGACATTCAAACAATGAGACTGCAAACAGTTGTATTCAATGATCCAACAAAAACTTAGTAATATGGTCATCTATCCTACATACCTAAACACACTTGCAGTTATATCCTTTAGAGCACTTTCTTTCCTCTCTAGACCAGCCATTTCTAAGAAACAGCCAGATCTGGAACAGCAACTGTTACCTGGGCAGCTAAGAAACTGAAGTATACTGACGGGGGGCCATTTTTGTTATAGTGCCATCAACAAAATGCATACCACACTTTGGGAAATGTTGGGTTGGGTGTTTTTTTTTTTTTTTTTTTTTTGGTGATTTTTTTTCTGTAAAAATCCAGGAAAAAATGATTGAAGAAAAGACTTTTTTGATGTTCTTTTTTGCTTCTCACATCCTTCTGAATCTTTCCTGTGGAGACAGGATATATATATATTTTTTTTTTCCTTTTTATTGGTACCAGGGATTGAACTCACAACTGCCTGCTTGCAAGGCAGGCACTTATGCCGCTGAGCTAAACCTCCAGCCCTGAGACAGGATATTTTTATATAAAGAAAAATGCGACCTACCATGTAATGGTGTCCACAGAAGTTGAAGACAATATGGAATGCAAGAGTGAAATTTAAAAACATTTTTTTGGTACGGAGCATTAAACTCACAAGTTTGCACTTGCCACATAGGCACTGTGCCTCTGAGCTGTATCCCCAGCAAGACTGAGATTAATGGACGAATTACACTATTGTTTTTCTCTAAGGAAATTAAATTCAAGAATTCAATGTGATGCTGACAAAAATTCAAAGTATCTCCAGATGTGGTGGCTCACACCTGTAATCCTGGCACGTGGAGGCTGATGCAGGAGGATTGCTATGAGTTTGAGCCCAGCCTACATAGTAAGTTCAAGGCTAACCTAGTAAACTACATGGTTAGATCCTGTCTCAGCAAAAAGAAATTAAACTATCACTGAGGCTATGATTTTAAAATTAACAATGCATTTGTTTGTCTCCTGGTTGTGTCATAAGTCATGTAGCTATGCTCGCACATGTGGAAAGGATTTTTGTGTGTAGTTTAAAAAGATTTAGATGAAGACTGAACTGAGAGGAATAGACAGAGACAGTGGTGAAGGAAATGCCAAATTTGTTAATGGAGGTAGAAACTCAAAATTTCTGGGTGATTTTTGTAAACTCACTTGTGATTTCTTCCTTTTGTCAATTTATTGTAAGCAGAATCACAGTATAGAAGGTACTCTGAGTAGGTCTCTGGCTTGTGATGATTACTCTAATACTGTTTAGAAAACACAAAGGAAAACAATTCCAATAAAACTTGGTGCTCTTCTTCCCTGGAAATATAGAAACTTGTGATGAAGAAAAGCAAGTATTCATTCAGGGACTGGAAGAAGAATTTTCTGTTTCCTTCTATCTGCCTTCAGTTGCAACCTGATTGTCTTCTCTTCTTTCAAACCCTGGGTTCAGAATTTTTTGGATATGTGCCATTTTATGAAAAGGAAATAGTTTTTTAACCTTTATGATCAGTTTGACTTCCAAACAATCCTTAGAGGAAACAGTGCTAAAGATTACAGTATTTCTAGAACTGGACGCATGCGGGAAGGCGATTCTGCTGGCCGTTCAGACTGGACCTCCTTGTTGTATCCCAGAACGTAGCCAAAAGGGCACAGACTGTAGGTGCAGATTTGATGTGAATCCTTCATAAGGCTGGTTTCAGGAAAAAAATTAGTGTGAGTAGGTTTGTGAAAACCAAAGCACTGTGTAGATGCTGAGTGTTGTATTAACTTGGAGTTAAGGTAGAAGGAAATAACCTCTTGGATCTCTTACCCAGTCACTACTGAGAATCTTACTGGCACTTATTAGAAAAGATTCTCACAACTGAAAAACAAGGAGACCAAAGCAACTTTTGGCTTGCTTGCTTTGGAACTGAAAGTACCCTCTAGAAATAATATATCCAGGAAAGCATCTAACAGACAAACTAAATATAGAAACTTTAACACATTTTTTATTGTCAAAGGTGGAGGAATACTGTTATATAATTATAAATTTAAAATGAAGGACCAGTAGAAGGGCACATGTTACCAAGAAATGTATGTGGCTATCCATGCGCCATGATTTCCATGACACTGGGAAAATTATTTGGTTGGAAAAATATAGCTCTTGCATATTTCTTGGATATGGCAGGCCTCAATCAGGGGCAAAGCATTTTCAGTCTACAGTGAAAGCCCAGTGCATTAATTTCCTCTTTCCTGCACTCACAGAAAAATGTTACTTTTTGCTCTTTGTATTAACATTTGTGTCTTTAGTAACCTTTGACTTTTCTAGATTTTTAACTCTTCAAGATTAGGAAATGATACTGTTTTTATCCTTTGTCTCTAATGTAGAAAATGCTTGTTATAGATGTTCAACAAATGTTCCTTAAAGGGATAAATAAAGGTATAATTACAATGCTATTATTAACCAAGGTAGGAGGGACTGTTAAGCGGTATAATATGAGTTTAGATTATGACAGCCATGATTGACAGTAAAGTCTGAACTAAGATAAAGGCTTTTCAGTGACTGCAAATTTTCAGGTGGAAAACCACAAGACAAAGAGCTTCCATAGGAAGAAAGGGTGTGTTACAGACAGATTAAAGAAAAAAGAACAGACACAGAAAAGAGAAGAAACAGAAGAGGAAAATTTGTCTATATGTAACTTTATCTATTGAAATTCCTGGCCAGAATTTCTACTGGGTATTTTTGAAATACCCAGTAGAATTTACTGAATAATAATAAAAGTCATAAATTTACTGGTTGCTTAGGACCAGCTTGA